TTCCAGTTCTAGTCTCCTAAGTTCAAAAGCCATTCTCTCTTTCTCTAAGGCAATCTTCTCTCTCTCCATTTCTGCGCTCCTATCCATTTCTCTCTGCCTCAGTCTTTCCTCCATTTCTAAGGCTATTTGTCAGCTTTGGCCTTCATTTCCAGCTCCAATTTCCATTTTCTGAACTGTATAGGGTCTTCCCTTGAGGTTTCTCTCTCCTGATCTGAGGTAAAACCTTCCTCAAAATCCCCATTTTCATTATCTGACCCAGCTGCCATTACACAAGGCGCTTGCTCAACTTTATTTCCCCTAGTTAAAGGCATTCTCCTTTCTTCAGGCTTGTAATTCAATTATCAAGCCTTGATTTTAAAAGTCCACTTTTTTTTCTGTCAGTGAGTGTCTGTGTCACAACTTAGCTTCTAGCAGTCATCCACTGGCAAGCTAGCTACAGTGTCTAGGCCCCTGCCCCCAGCTAGGCCTTTTGCCACAGACAGAGCTTTTTTCTCTGCCTCAGGCAACAAAACCACTCAAACCCACGGCTTCACCCTGTCCTAGGACTAGCTGTCTTTGAGTCCCCTCAGTTTATCTGCCCTTGGCTCCGCTTTGTCCCCATAGAGCTCTCCCTTGAACTCAGGACAAGCTTGCCAACCTGCCACAGATTCTGCTTTGGGCAACTCACTCCCCAGAAATGGTTACCACAGAGCCATAGTCCCTATCTTAGTCCCCAATCTGAGCTTCAGAGCCCCCCTACTAGACTTGCTCCTCCTGAGACACGTCCTAGGAGGTTACCCACTTGTCCACTCAGACTCCCTGACTAAAGATCCCTGCTCTGGGCACCACTCCGGTCCAAGGCTATACTGGCCCCCACGTATCCCACACGCTGGACACCAATTTATCTAGCAGGCCTCTCTGAAGCCTCTACCAATACAGGGCTCCAAGAGTGCTCACTACTCTTCTTCAAACTGCTGCCACCAACCTATCCTTAATACTCAAAAAGGACAAGTGTTTCTTTCAAACAAATGTTTATTGATTTGACAAAATAAAAAGGAATGAATCACAGGTAGTAAATCAAGTTGTAAATCAAGTTTCTCATTTAATGTACCTCACACAGACTTTTCCCTCACTGACTATCTCACAAATCTATCTCACTCTCTCAACCAATTTCTCTCATCTCCCAAACTCCCAAACTCTCTCTCACACATCACACCCCCTTATATAATCCAGCTCCTCCTCCTTCTGCACCACCCTCCGTCCTCTCATTGGCTGATGTTCCCCTGCCCAGCTGTGACGGACAGGTGAGAGCAGAGCTGCTATGTTACATCCACTATCATAGGAATTTGAACACTTTTACATTTTTGCATGCTGTACTTTACCAGCATTTGTTGCATTTTCACTTTTTGACCTAGCACAAAACCTTTTCTTGTTTCTAGATTTGCACCCCCAAGTAATTTTGTATTGGGCCTATATTCTTCAATTTCAATTCCTTTTTCAACTGCTTTTCAAATAAATCTATTTGGCTTTGATCTTTGTCGTCTACATAGGCTAACAAAATGTTTAGCTCCTTTCCCTATTTTACATATAAACATGGATCTGCCAAACTGTTTCTATATTTTAACTTTTGCAATGCTGAACGTAAATGATTCCAATATCTCACCGATTGTTTCAATCCATAAGTAGCTTTGTTCAAACTGCATACTGCTCCTGGTTCAGAGCTTTCAAAACCAGGTGCCTGCGCCATGTATAACTCTTCCTGTAATTCTGCATTTAAATAAGCAGTTGTAATGTCAAAGTGGTTTACTATGTAGTTTTTGGATGCAGCCAAAGTTAAAACCAACCTCATTGTTTCTGCTTTTACTGTTGGTGAAAATACTTTGTCATAATGCACATTTTTTGTGTGTGTGTACCCCTGAGCCACTAATCTTGCTTTGTACCTGTAATCCCCATTGTTTTGCAATTTTCTTTTATAGACCCATTTGCTACCAATTACTTTATGTTCTGGTGGCAACTTTGTCTCTGTGAACACTCCATGCTCATCCATGGACTTTAATTCCTCTTTCATAGCCTGTTGCCATTTCTTTTTCTCTATTTCTGGAAGAAGCATCACTTCCTCAAAATTTTTCGGCTCTTGGTATACATGACATACCTTTATTTACCCGACACCAAACCTTGTTGGAGGGATTCCTTTATTAGCCCTTTCAGACCTTCTGGGGATTTGTGACTCTTCTTTAATTGCTGGCTGACTCACTTCCTAACTACAATCGCCATCATTCTCTTCTTCTGAGGTGCTTTGCCTTGGGCTTTCTTCAGCCTCTTCCTTTGGCTCTATCTCATTTCCCTCACTTTTCTCTCTTTATTTTATGGGAATGTATACTTGGGAATTTGTGTGTACCTTGTCCCATTTCTCATGCTCACAAAAATTTGCTGACCTGGAGATTACTACATTTTTGTTTCTATCCAGGAAACGAAATGCCTTGGACCCTCTTTCATTGCTCGTCTAAGAACCTCATTTTCTTAGCTTTTGGTCTCCCTTTTCTTCTGGTTTCTTTTGGTACGTGCACCCAGGCACTACACCCAAACACTCTCATATGTTGTAAAGAAGTCAGCATTACTATACACCTGTTCATCATGGCTGTTCATCAATGCACGTTCTGCTCAGGCCTGGAAATTATCCTTGACAAACTGTGATGTGGCTACAAAAAGCCTAATACTATTTTAGGCTGCATTAATTGGAGCATAGTTTCCAGATCCCACGAGGTGCTAGTCCCCCTCTATTCAGCACTGGTTAGGCCTCACCTTGATTATTGCATCCAGTTCTGGACACCACATTTCAAGGAGGATGCTAACAAATTGGAAGAAGTTCAGAGGAGATAGACAAGGAAACCCAGGCTGGAAACCAAGCCTTGAGAAAAGGCTGAAAGGACTGGACATGTTTAGCCTTAAGAAAAGAAGACTGATAGCACTTTTGAAATATTTGAAAGGCTGTCATACAGAGGAGGGGTAAGATTTGTTCTCGATCATCCAAGACTGCAGGACATGCAACAATGGGTTCAAGTTAAAAGAAGCCAGATTTCAATTGAATATCAGGAAAAATTTCCTCTTAGATCAGTACGATAGTGGAACCAGTTACCTCGGGAGTTGGTGAGTGCTCCAACACTGGAGGCATTGAAGAAAGATAATCACCTGTCAGATATGCGTTGATTGTATTCTGTTGGAATCACAAAATGAGAAGGCTGATGGGCTTTGTGATCACAAGTAATATAGTCTTTTAGAGATAGAAGTTAAAGAAGTAAGCCACACACAGGGATGTCTGCCAGCAGTTCTCCTGATGGGCAACTAGTATGAGGAAGCAGAATGAGAAGTCTTCTGCCCTGCCCCCAGGAGGACTGTGCTTTTATTAACCTTACAAGCTCACAGATAGTCGACAGTATACAGATAGTTGACAGAGTTCAGATACTACAGTGGTTGCATCATGTTATTGCAATTGGCCTAAAGCAGTGGTTGGGGAACAGGGGTAAATTACCCCATTTGGTGTAAAAATGAAAATCCTGGGGGTAATGGGGACGGTCGTAGCAGCGCGACTGTCCTCATTACCCCCAAGTATTGTGGGTGAAAGTGCTAGTAAGCCTCGCAAAGAATTTACTCACTTCCTGAGAAGGGAGAGGAAAGAGTAACAACTACCATAGAGTCTAAGACCCCTAAGGGGATAGAGGAAGCTTCTGATCCCTTGTCATTTCTCCTCCGTTCTCGGCCGTTTCCTGGTAAAAGGAGGAGGGGGTGGGGCTGTGTGGTCAAGAGTGGCTTTGTAATTGGTCTGGGTGGCTGCCTGCACTTTTGCTCCTTCCTTCGCGTTCCAAAGATTTTTGTGGCACTGGTGCCTTCCTTTGCCGCTTATCTGCTCCCATCTCGGTCAGAGGTGAAGAGGGACGGGTCTTCCTGCTGCCCTCGCCAAGCTTGCACGGAAGAGCGGAAAATGCGGTGGGAACGGTAGGCTGAGAGGCAATGTGTGTCCCCACTCCTCAATTCCTTTCATCCCTCATTTCCCTGCATTCCGTATGCCTCCTGTTTCAAACCTGTAATATGGCCAGGCTGAACAGTGGCAGGCAGAGCAGGTGTTTCATCCTGTGCAGTCAGTTTAAAATAATTGTGATCAATTGAAACTGTTATATTAGTGGCTGAAAGTTGGCTCTGGTTGTTTTTGCCTTGTGTGGATGCTGTTAAAGTAGAGCTTGGGACAGCTCTGGCATCCTTAAAATATGCAAGAGGACTGATATAGATATCTGCATTCACACGCAACATCAGTGTCCTGTCAAGGGGGTAATGTCGAAGTATATAATTTTTTGGGGGGGGGGTAAAAGGTAAAAAAGTTCCCTGAACCCTCGCCTAAAGAAAGTCTCTTTAAGCAAGCTCTCTATCACCTATGAGAAAGAAGAAGAATGGGTAGCCACTCCCCTCAAAAGCAGCTGCATCGTGCTAGGAGAGTTTGCCTTCACTACAACAACAGTGTGGCTCAGCAACCTTGGGAATGGCACCCCCACAGTATTTCTGCATTGAGCAGGGGGTTGGACTTGATGGCCTTTTAGGCCCCTTTCAGCTTCACTTTTCTATGATTCAATTATCTGTATAATCCATTGTTACTCATAGTAGATGATGTGAGCCAGACCTACTAATACTAGCATTGTTATGTAACTTGTATGTTGAAAGTGCTTGCTTCTGTCTCAACACTTGTTTTTGTCTGTGAATTTCTGTGGTATAATGACAAAATGTCTGTTATCATATTAAGTGAGGTGTATGCAGAGGCAAAATTTGCATATAGAAGTATTATGGACAGGCCTGATTTGCTTGCATTGTAATTCTATTCTTAAAAACACTTCTCAAGTGTTAGTGAAATTTTGCTCTTACTGAAAGAACTGCTCAGGAATAATGATAATACTTTCTTGGTAACCTATGTGTGCGAAACTACTTCAGATATATTTGATGTATTGTAAAAATGTTTTAATTTTTGTCGTTGTTAGGTTTTGAGAGTATTTTAGAAGGGCTTTATGGACCAAGGCTACGAAGAGACCTCAGTTTATTTGAAGGTAAACAATTATTTGAAATGCATGAAAACTTGTTTTTCAGTTATATGACATTTTAAAGCAGTCTTTTCAGCATCACACGATTTTGCTACTGTGTTTCATTGCAAATATAGTCTTCTAAAGTTTTTTACTAGAGACACCTTGTTCTCATCTCTGTAAGGATTTATCCAAAATGGCAAGCATTTACAACAGATATTTAATCTATTTGTGAAGTTCCTCATTTAAGTGTTATTTTAATCATTCCTACTCTTGTCTTTGAGAACATCAGCCATTTTTATTTCTTATTTCAAAAGGCTTATAAAATGAAAGGTAGTACTCAGACTGAATTAACTCACCATGAGTATGGTGGTGATTTTGCACCATCTGTTGTCAAAGCTGAACATTGTCTCACTGCTAAAACCTAGCAAATACTTTTTTCTTCAAAATGAGACATCTTTTGTAAAACTTTTGCAAAATTTATCCTTAATTTTTTTAAAAAATAAGGATTTTTAAAATATATGCATCTGTTTGTTATGGTCTCAGTTACAGAGACAACAGAATAAAGCAATATAAATACTGGTCTTTGGGTTGCCAAGTTATTGCATCTTTTTCATAAGATAAAATATGTTTATCTCATGAAAAAAATCTTTACAGGACAAAGAATCAAGGAGCTAGCAGTTTTTACTCTTAGCACAGTGGTCCCATACCTTTAGCAACCCAGGTTTCTTCTTCGTGGTCTCTGTGAATGCACACTAATAGGTTAAGTCTGCGCCTGCACAGAGGTCTCTGGAATATTTTAGAGCTAAAGGTTCGCTAGGACCCCCCCCCCTTCCATAGCCTATGTGGTCCACCCGTCCTAGCGATTACCTTGGTTCCTTTTTTCTGCTGCTGAGGTCTCATCTCTAGAGCTTCACTTGGTTCAGTTGGTTCATTCTGAAAGAAAAATAGATCGTTCTCTTCAAATTGTTTTCCCTATTGATTCTCTTCTACAAAAACAAAAAAAACGAAAGCTAAAAATACAAATCGTTCTTCTTTGATCATTGGACTCACCTCACCATTACCCCCTTCCTTTCTTTCCCTGTTTTGCTTCCCGCCTTTTACGGGCCCTACGGGCCCTTTCAAAAAGTGCATCTCCCGCACAAACAAACTCCCAGTCTCTGACGGTCACAACGCTTGTTTATTCTGTCTGGGAGAATCTCATCAGCCATCCAGTTGCCCCAATTTCAAGAATTTCACAAAGCAAGTCATTAAACTTAGCAAAGACTTTGATCCTTCCTTTGGGAGCAGTCCCTTTGATCACAGGCCAAATGGACAGTTCTCAAACTCCTTAGTTGCCGGCAGCTTCAACCGTGGCCTCACCACTACTATCTCTGAAACCTAAGGCTTCAAGATCCAAGTCATCTGGTTCCACAACACATTTCTCCCCAGTATCCAAAGCGAAACCAAAGACCACTGGTAGGAAACCAAAGGAGTCAAAGAAACCTCTACCAGATGAACAACCTTTGGTATAGCAGTTATCAATACAGAGCCACCCTATGATCAAATTGGATACCGACGAAGAATCCATCCCACCAGTCTCAGGACAACTGCCTTCTCCTCTGCTTACCAGATCTCCATCATGAGCAGATACCTCAGCTGAGGTACATACATTAGAGTATTCAGCCTGTTTGAGCCCCAAATCTTTGGTTGGCTCCATATCGGGGTGTGAGTCTGGATAACTTATTCCTGATACAGTCAAGAAAAAGAGATCAAGACTCCACTATACTGGCCGTTCCAATACCGCCACTTACCAGCCTCCGTTTCATTCGGGGATGCAGGTATTGCAAGGCTCAAGGGCTCATAAACATTGGCCCAATAACCTCCACTATTCTTCAAACTGCCAACCATGTCATACCGCCACCATTGTCAGTACTGGCAACACGATATGGAACAATTTTTTAATCCTCGTCTTCGGTATGCATATCGTTACCCATCGGACACGCCTGCTTTTTCCTCTCTTCGGCACCAGCTGGACCATTATGAGGAACCCTTGGACACAGACAGTTTTCCTGCTCCAGTACTGAAATACCGTACCAAACATCGCAAACAGCACGCAGATGCTACATCAGCACAACTGTTACTGAAGAAGCCTAAGACTTCCAGACACTCAATACCGGCTTCATCTTGGGACCGAGCCACCTCGACTCAAAACTCATCTAGGGACCGAGCTGCCTCAGCTACAACTTCATCCGAGGACCGAGCCTCTTCAGTATGGGCTACAACAATTTATGCTGGACCACTGCCTGATACCGGTCATACAGCAAAGCTTCAGAAGAAAACGCCAGACATTTCTCCATCATCAATGCCACAAAACGTGATGACAGACCGTCCAAACTGCGATGAGTCCAGCACTCTCCTGTTATGTCAGAGTCCTCCTCTTCTCAGTCATCTGACTCTGAGTCTTCAGATTCCTAATCTTTCCAACAATCTTTTAATCTTGCAACACCAGACTCAGACATTGCAGAAGGCAATCCTCCAGCTGAGGACTTTGTGTCATATTCCCAACTGGTCCAGCGCATAGCAAAGGCATTGGACCTCACCGTCCACCAACCTGCAGCTGAACAGCTTTCTAAACTTTCCCTTAACTTCTTAACTTGAATGGAATTATAACGTAGCCCGAAGCAATACTGTTTTGCCTATTTTCAGCCCCCCCCCCCGGTTATATGTATAAAGGAGGAAGCTGTGCTCAAGAATTTGGTGGGGGAATAATGGTGATGGCTGGCTGTATAATACTTAGTGAAGAGGAGCCTGATATGCCATTGTCTGTATGAGAAGGACTTTCACTTTCTAGCTTAACCTGGCCAGTGAAAGAAGAAATATAAAGCCTGTTAGAGACTGGATGTCAGCTGCAATGAATCAGTAGTGTTTCTGGTGGCTTTTTTTTCAAGAACACAAGGTCTTCTTTTCACCTAATAAAATTCAAGGTCCTGAATTTGGTTTTTGATGTCATTACCAGCCAAGTTCAGGGTGAAGAGTGGGTGTTTCTTCTTTCTCTCACATTCAGTAAACTAACTCCCGACAGTGTGTGGGAAACCGGCAAGACTCTCAGGACATCTAGTGGAATATAGAGTGTACTTTAACAGATAGACTCTAAGGTATGCTACAGATCATCTCTTTTAGGGCCTCTTTCTTATGGGGATGCAATTCAAAGTCTCAAACTGGTGTTTTTAAGAAGAAACGGTCTTCTTTTCATGGGAATACAATTCAAGGTCCTGAATTTGGTTTTTGGTGTTTTTACCAGCCAAATTTGGGCATATCCTTTCTTCCTCATTGAATAGGCTAACTAAGTCGTGCAAGACTCACAGGACATCTAGTGGAATATAGAGTGCACATCAACAGATTCTCAGATTTGCTATGTTCAACTGGCAAGGGAACAGAACAGAAGAAGTGGTCTTAACCGACCAGATAGGTGGGATATAAAATAAATAAATAAATAAATAAAAATAAATGAGTCAAGCCACAGGTGTGACTTAAGTAAGATTCAACAGTGAGTCATGGGTCCCCATTCCTGCCTTATTCTAACTGTGGCTTATTTTAGCACAGTAAATGGCAGTTACATTAGGACTGTTTGGTTTGAATCAATGGAAATTACAGAGGAGAGGATTCATCAAATCCCCATTGATTCAGTGAACCTACTCCAGTTCAATTTACTACATTAAGCAACAGTATTTTGGCACTGAATTTGGAAATTCAAATAATCTTAGGAACTGTGAAGCTCAGTTTCTCAGCACTGAACTCAACCATCTGAATTGGGCCCTACAGGCAAATGGCTACTCCAAAAATGAAATCACAAGAGCCATCAAACCAAGAAAACAACACCAAACTGAAAAAGAAAAACAGCCACCCACAAATAAAGTATTTCTGCCATACATCAAAGGGGTCACGGACCACATGGGGAAACATTTGAAAAAACACAACCTACAAACAGTATTCAAGCGCACTACAAAAATACAACAAATGTTACGGTCAGTAAAGGACAGAAGGGACCCCCTCACCACTGCAGGAGTATGCCGGATACCTTGCAGTTGTGGCCAGGTGTATATTCGAACCACAAAACGAAGCATCCACACCAGAATAAAAGAACATGAAGACACTGCAGACTAAAACAACCAGAAAACTCGGCAATAGCTGAACATGCCCTGAAACAAGCTGGACATGAAATTCTATTTCAGAATACTGGACAACAGCATCAATCATTACGTCAGACTGCACAGGGAAGCCATTGAAATCCACAAGCACCAGCACAGTTTCAACAAAAAAGAGGAAAGTGTGAAGCTCAACAAAACTTGGCTCCCAGCTCTCAAAAATACAGCATGCAAAAGGTCAACAAACTCTACCTAGCCACAAGGACAGGGGATCACTACACACAAAAGACCAGCTAATGACACCCATCAACCACAGGAACAGATAATCTCTTCTCCTTAGCACAACAATACACCCACAACAAGACACACTAATCGCCCATCTACAGAAAAAGACAAAAGCCTATTTCACAGCCATAAATACTGCACTCCCAAGCGAAGTACACCAAAGCAGAGTGCTGTCCTCTGAAGATGCCGGCCACAGAGACTGGCAAAACGTTAGGAAGAACAACCTTCAGAACACAGCCAAAGAGCCCGAAAAACCCACAACAAACATTAGATCCCAGCCGTGAAAGCCTTCGCGAATATATTAGATATCTGTTTATGCTGAAAAAAGTGTAATTATAAACTGGAAATATTCTGGGGGGAGGAAAGCACCAACTTGATTGATAGGGAAGTAGTTGAAACATCAAGATGAATACCAGGGCCTCCTCCAAAAAAGATGACTCCCCCAGTGAAAGTGCAAACGTACTTAAATTAATTAGCTAAGACCCCTTCAAAAATGCAATGCAGGAAATGCAAACAAATATTGTTAAGCAACTGTCAGAGCAGATGCAGGAATTTAGAATGGAAGCTAAAGCAAATGCAGAAAGCACGAACAGGAAAATTGATGCCTTCTATGAG